ATTTATCTGCAAATGCCATAATTTTATTCTCTTTTAATGCTGAGTAATATTCCATTGTGTATATATACCACAGTTTCTTTATCCATTCATCTATTGATGGGCATCTAGGTTGGTTCACAGTTCACTATTGTGAATTCAGCTGCTATAAACATTGGTGTGGCTATGTCACTATAGTATGCTGATTTTAAGTCCTTTGGGTATAGACCGAGGAGTGGGATAACTGGGTCAAATGGTGGTTCCATTCCAAGTTTTCTGAGGAATCTCCACACTGCTTTCCAAAGTGGTTGCACCAATTTGCAGTCCCACCGGCAATGAATGAGTGTACCTTTCCCCCCCACATCCTCGCCAACACTTATTATTGCTAGTATTCTTGATTACTGCCATTCTGACTGGGGTGAGATAAAAATCTTAAGAGTAGTTTTTTGATTTGCATTTCTCTAATTACTAAAGAAGTTGACACTTTTTCATATATTTGTAGATCACTTGTATATCATCTTTTGAGAGGTGTCTGTTCAGTTTCTTAGCCCGTTTATTGATTGGGTTGTTTGTTTTTTTGGTATTAAGTTTTTTGAGTTCTTTATATATCCTGGAGATTAGCGCTCTATCTGATGTGTGTGTGGTAAAGTTTGTCCCCATACTGTAGGCTCTCTCCTCAATAATTGCTTCTTTTACTGAGAAGAAGCTTTTTAGTTTTAATCCATCCCATTATTTACTCTTGATTTTATTTCTTGTGCTTTAGGAGTCTTGTTAAGGATGTTGGGGCCTAATCCGACAAGATGAAGATTTGGACCTACTTTTTCTTCTATTAGGTGCAGGGTTTCTGGTCTAATTCCTAAGTCCTTGATCCACTTTGAGTTGAGTTTTATGCATGGTGAGAGAAAGAGGTTTAGTTTCATTTTGCTACATATGGATTTCCAGTTTTCCCAGCACCATTTGTTGAAGAGGCTATCCTTTCTCCAATATATGTTTTTGGCACCTTTATCTAGTATAAGATAACTTTTACAGTTGTTTTTGATCCATTTCTGGTTTGTTTTGGTGAAGGGTATGAGGTTTGTGTCTAGGTTATTTACGTATTTCTTTTTCAGAGGGTGACCAGTTGTTCCAGTGCTTTGTGATGAGCATCTCTGCTCCACTGTGTTGTTTTGCTCGGTCACAGACCAGGTCTGTTTCTGGGCTCCCTATTCTCTTGATCAAGTTGTCTGTCTCTTCACTAGTTCCACATTGGTCGTGGTCACCATAGCTCTATAGTTAGTTTTGAAGTTGGATAAATGTCCATTCTCTGACCTTGTTCTTTTCTTTCAATATTGAATTAGCTATTCTTGACTTTTTGCCTCTCTATAATCAGTCATTGATTCTATGGGAGTCATCACCCTATAACTTGCTGGGATTTTTATTTGGATTGTATTTAAGTTTGGAAGAACTGGCATCTTGGTAAGATCGAGTCATTCTTTTCATGAACGTGGAATATATCTTTAATTATTTAGTTCTTTGATATCTTTCATCATTGTCTTATAGTTTTTTTATATATATTTTGTACGTATTTTGTTAGGTTTATACCTAAGTAATTTTTTTGAGGTGCTAATGTAATGGCAGTGTGTTGTTAATGCAAAAGTCCATGTGTTCATTGCTGGTGTCTGATAAGTTGATTGGCTTTTAGATATCAATCTTATATCCTGCAACCTTGCTATAACAGCTTAATTGTTCCAGAATTTTGTTTTTGTCAATTCACTTGAATTTTCCACCTAGATGATCATGTCATCTGCAAATACAGTTTTATTTTGTCCTTCTCCATCTGAATACCTTTTCCTGCTTTTTTCTTCCTTCCTCCCTCCCTTCCTCTCTTTCTTTTTAATCTTATTGTATTGGGAGGATTTCCAGTACAGTGTTGAAAGCAGGGGTGACAGGGGACATCTTGCCTTGCTCCTGAGGAGCTTTGAGTTTCTCATCATTAAATATGGTGTTAGCCGCAGTTTTTCTGTAGATGTTTTCTCAAGTTGAGGAACTTCCCTTTCTTCCTAGTTGGCCGACAGTTTTTACCATGAATGGATGTTGTATTTTGTTGAATGCTTTTAGTATCCATTGATATAATTATGTGATTTTTCTTCTTTAACCTGTTGATGTAGAGGATGACATAAATTGATTTTGGAATGTTCAACAAGCTTTACTTACCTGGGATAAATTCCACTTAGTTGTTATGTATAATTCTTTTTTATACACTGTGGGATTTGATTGTGAAAATTTTGTTGAGGATTTTTGCATCTATGCTCAAGAGTGATATTGGTCTGTAGATTTCTTGTAATGTCTTTGATTTTGGTAATAATACTGACCTCATTGAATGAGTTAGGAAGTGTTCTCTCTGGTTCTTTTTGAAGAGGTTATAGAGAATTGGTATAAGTTTTCTATTCTTTCCTCTCTTTTCCTTTAAAATATTTAAAAACTTCTTTTGAGATTTCTTCTTTGACCCATGTATTACATAGATGTACTTGTAATCTCCAGGTATGTGGGGATTTTCCAGTTATCTTTCTGTTACTGATTTTTAGTTACTCCACTGTCGTTGAAGAGCCTAGTTTGTACAATTTCTCTTCTTTTAAATTTGCTAGGTTGTGTTTCATGGCCCAGAATGTGGTCTGTCTTGGTGAATATTCTTTGTGAGCTTGAGAAGAATGTGTAATGTGATGCAGCTAGATGAAGTAGTTTATAGATTTCAGTTACATAGAGTTGACCCATGATGCCATTGAGTCAGCTGTATCTTTACTGATTTTATATCTGTTGGATATGACTATTTCTAACAGAGGGTAGTAAAGTCTCCAAATAGTGCTTTTGTCTTTCTTCTTGCAATTTTATTAGTTTTTGTCTTATGTATTTTGATGCTGTGTTGTTAGGCCATACACTTAAGGGTTGTTAAATCTTTTTGGAGAATTGACCCCTTTATCACATGTTATGCCCTTTTTTATCCTTGATAACCTTCCTTGCTCTGAAATCTGTTCTGTATGAAATTAGTATAACTACTACCATCTTCTTTTGGTTAATGTTGGCTTACTATATCTTTCTTCATTCTATTTTTTTATTTTTTATTTTTGTATTTGGCACTTAACCACTAGGACACATTTCCAGCCCTCTTGGTTTTTTATTTTGAGACAAGGTCCTGCTCAGTTGCTTAGGGCTCTGCTAAGTTGCTGAGGTTGGCTTTGGACTTGTGATCCTCCTGACTTGCTGGGATTATGGGTATGTGCCACTGTATCTGACACACCTTTAATATGTTTACGTCTTTATATTTAAAGTGGGATTTTTTTGGTAGAAAATGTATAGTAGGGTTGCGTTTTTAGATTCACTCTGACCATTTTGATTTTAATTGTTGTATTTAGATCATTGATATTTTAAGTGATTATTGATGTAGCTGGGTTAACACCTGTCATTTTAAATTATTTGCTATTTATTGCTATTCACTGTTCCTATTTTTGTCTTCCAGAATTTTTCTGTCTTTTGTGGTTTTATTTGAGCATTTCATATGATTTTGTTTTCTTTCCTTTCTTAGCATATAGATTATACTTTAAAAAAATGGTTTGTCTGAGAGTTTGTAATGTATACATTTACAACTAATCCAAGTCTACTTTCAAATAACTCTATGTTGCTTCATGGATAGTGCAGATACCTTATAACAAAGATTTCTAATTCCTCTCTCCTTCCCATTATATCATTGCTGTCATCCATTCCATTTATACACAAATATGCAGAAAAATATGTATATATGTATATATGCATACATAAGCATATATATGTACACACAAAAACACATACCATCAAATCCATTGCTTGTTATTTTAAAGAAACTATTATCTTTCAGATCCATTAAAATGAGTAAAGTGAGTTTTTATTTTGCTTTCACTTATTTCTTTGTCAACAGTCTTCTTTCTATTATGTGGTTTCTTACCTATAACAATTGCTTTGTCTCTGAAGGCTTCTTTTAATTTTTTTTTTTTTTTTTTTTTTTGCAAAATAGGTTCACTGGCAACAATTTCCCTCAAGTTTTGTCTGGAGACATCTTTATTTCGTCTTCACTTTTGAATGATAATTTCACAAGGCAGAGTTGTTTTTTCCCCCCCTCTTAACCCTTTAAATGTTTTATTCTACTCTCTTCTCATTTCTCTCTTGCATTGTTTCTGAAGAGAAGCCAGATGTAAGTTTTAGTTTTTTTCCCTCTGGCTTTTTTCAAGATTTTAAAATTTATTTTAGATTTTTGTGAAGTTTCAACATGACACACCTAAGTATAGGGTTTTTTGGTGTGTGTGTTCTCCTCCTCCTCCTCGTCCTCCCCCAACCCCCCAGTTTTTGTCTTATGTATTTTTTTTAAATTTTAATATTTATTTTTTAGTTTTTCGGCAGACACAACATCTTTGTTTGTATGTGGTGTTGAGGATCGAACCTGGGCCGCACGCATGCCAGGCGAGCGCGCTGCTGCTTGAGCCACATCCCCAGCCCCTGTCTTATGTATTTTGATGCTGTCATGGCAAAGACTCTAAAGTTTCTGGATCTGTGGTTTAGTGCCTTACATTACTTTGGGTAAAATTCACAGTCATCATTGCATCATTGCTTTCTCTTTCTTTCCCCTTCTGTTGTTCCCTTTATGCATGTGTCACACCATTTCCAGTTGTCCCATAGTTCTTGGATCTTTTGTTCAAGGTTTTTTTTTTTTTTTTGTCTTTTTTTTAGCTCAGAAATTCCTATTATCATATCCTCCAACTCAGAGTCTTTCCTCAGCCCTGCCCAGTGGACTCTTGAGCCTGTCAAACAAAGATTAACTTTTGTTAATCTTTTGTTAACTTCACTTTTGTCATAGTGTTCTGATCTATGATTTTTTCATGAATCCTTAGAATTCCACCTCTAAGTACCTTATCTGTCTGTTCTTGCATATGGTTTACATTTCGACCAGTGCCCTTGGCATAATCATAGTTCGAAAACATTCCCGGTTTTGTAATTCCACACCTCTGCCATCTCTGACTCTGTTCTGATGTGGCTCAGTTTTCATCCTTGTGATTTCTGCCTTTTGGAGTGCCTTGGAATGCTTTGCTAGAAGGCGGATGGGTAAAAGGAACTGGCCTATGAAGCTGGTCAGGTGTGGGAGGGTGACGTCCTGAAACCCCGAAGTTAGTGTTGATTGTGTGTCATCAGTGCTTCTCAGGTGTGTTTTGCTTTGTGGCCCCCCACCGCTCAGGTGGGAGGAGACGTCCCTCTTAGGCTCTAAAACACATCCAGCATGATAGACTCTGGCAGAAGAGCTTCTCCTGACAGCAGGCCTTCCTAAGAAGAAGGAGGGCTCTGGCAGATTTCAGAGGGTTCCTTTCTCCTCCCCCTGCTGGAAGCTCAGTGGGACTGTGCTTTGCTGTTTACTGAGAGGACCTGGCAGAGCTCCTCAAGGTATGACTCACAAAATGTGCAGTTCCCTCTGTGACTGGAACTTTCACCTCTCATTTGTCCACACCAAGCCTCCAGCAGTTGGTCAGGTACAATTCCGTTGTTGTTGTTGTCGTTGTTGTTGTTTTTTACCTGGTCCTGGTTTCCACGGCGGTCTCTGCTCAGGGAGATTGCGATTCTTGGTGGCCACCTGCCTGTGTCTCCAGTTGTGGAGGCAGTAGTTGGACCTCAGTTCCTGTGGTGGGGCTGGGAAGGGTTATTGATATTTCAGTTTGTTCAGCTTTTGCTTGTGGTTGGAATGAAGTAGTGTCTTTCAAGATTCTTACACGCTGGACCACAAACCTGAAGCTCTTCTTTTTTTTTTTAAGTTAGATTTTTTTTTTTAATATTTATTTTTTAGTTGTAGTTGGACACAATACCTTTATTGTATTTATTTTATTTGGTGCTGAGGATCAAACCCAGGGCCTTGCACTTGCTAGGAGAGTGCTCTACTGCTGAGCCACAACCCCAGCCCCCTGAAGCTCTTCTTATTAACCTTTTGACCTTTGACAAATTAACAATTAACTCAATTGTTCTCAACCTCAGTTTCCTCATGTGTGAATGAGGATTATAATTCTGTTGTGGCACGGCTGCGTGAGGATTAAATCCATGATGCGTGCACCTCTCATGCTGTTGGTGCTTGCTGAACGGGAGCTCTGGTAGGGTGCCTCTGGGTGGGCAGGGCTGTGGGGCTGCGGCCTGTCTCTTCTCTCTACTCAGTGCCCATGTTATTGTCATGCTCCACCGTATCCAATACTCTCGCTATTTCCTGGGTTACTGGAGGGTAGGAGACCGAGAATGGCCCCCCAAGCCTCTCATTGAAGCATCAACTTTTGCCAAACCAGAGCCATGAGTGGATCATCCTACAGTGGGCAGGAAGGCTTGAGCTCCCACCCTTTGGACCAAACCTTCAGGTTCACCCTGAATCTGAATAGCAGAGCAACAAAGAGTGACATGACAGCAGCAAACCAAGGAATACTTTATGGATCATGGCAAATACTCTAAAGTTCCCCATTGGTATTTAAGCCACATCCCAAGGCTCATAGAAAAATCACTGTCAGGCCCATTATCTTTGACTACAAAGGACAACAAAATATAATATTGTCTGCAGCTCACTCCAACATTCTTGTCCGGTTGTAACATTTCAGTTTTTTATTCTTCTCACTACTTGACAATATTATGATTTCTTCCTACAGGGGATGAAAGTACAAGCCCTGCCTATTTCCCTGCTTGGCTATTATTTGAGTTTCTATTATAAGCCTCTAGAAGACTGCAGACATATAACCCCTTTTTTAAAAGGCTATACACGTGGTATTCAGTCTCCATTCATCTTTCGTCCACTCTGGTCAGGGAGGGTGCTGAGGCCAGACTGTAAGATCTTAGTAATCTTGGGAATTAGGTTGTGGTTTCAGACCTCATGATCGCAGAGTCAAATCCTGCAGACTTGGCAAAGCTGTCCCTGCCAAGTGCCCCTATTATCCGAATTAAAAACGAGGTGCCTGATTCCAAGCTGCAGACTCATTCCAAAACTCCTAGGCATTCTGGCATCGTTTAACTCTTGGGTCATCGGAGTTGAAAAATGCAGTTTTTTGTGTTTTCCTTTTAACACCTAATGATAAGACTCTCTGTCATTTTGGAAAAGCACTGTCAATTTTACAATATTTTGTATTTTGAAAATTAACAAAACAAACCCCCAAACTGACTATTTTCTCCCTAAACAATCTAGGAGCAAGCAGGCAAGAGCTAATGTTTATATGTGTGTTACTATAACATGAATTTTAAGTTAAAGTATCTTTCAAGGTAAAAATGCATTTTGATTGTGAGTTTTTTCCTGTGGACTGTTTTGTACTTCGCCTTGGTTTTTTGGTTGGCTTTGCAACGTTAATGGCCACCGTTAATGGCCACCGTTAATGGCCACCGAAGGAGGTGTGATTTGGGGCTTCCATAGGGGGCATGGGTTAATAAAGGCTGGAGACACTGTGTGGGTTTCTGTTTTAGTATGAATTCACCGCTCATTTAAAGTGATTTTTACTCATCTATGTCTTCTTCCAAAGAGAAGCCAAGGTGCAGGCAGGTTCATTAGAGAAAAAAACAGTACATTGAAAAACTCTTTTTTTAATATATTGATTTGGCCAAATTTTGGGGTTTGGAGGGAACTGGCAGTGGGCTGTGGTGCTTGGAGAGCCCAGTGTACTCTGCTGTAGTGCTGGGGACACAGGCGCGGCCCCCCCCACTGGGTTTGTTTGAAGTAGTCACTGAGTGGGTGAGGGGTGGCCTGGCTGGTGCTGCAGCACGGTGCTCCTAAGTGGCAGTGACAGCTCATTCAGCTGCAGTATGACCTTCGGGAGAATGTCTGCCACTCGCCCACTTGGGAGAATCCCAGACTTTCAGGCAAACAGACTCCTCGCCTATAAAATGAGGGATTTGGATGAGATGATTTGCAAGGTCTCTTTCTGTTCTGAAATGCTATGATTCTATGAAATTAAGCCCATTTGATCTAAAATTGGAACTGAAAACCTTCTGGGTGTGTGCATGGTGAGGAATGGATTGCACTGCAGATAAGACAAAACCTTCCCTTCAGTTTTATTTAGTTCTTTCCCCCTTTTAAAGGTTCTATCCCCCCCCACCCCGCCCCAAGTCAGTGCCTCCTCTGTTCTGAGTAGGTTCAGAAAAATGTAAGCCACACTCCTTTCCTTGGGTGCTTTAGCATTTCCTGAAGGGAGTGACTAACCTGTGGAGTGATCACAGCACAGAGTCACCTAGACCCGTGCGGAACAGAGCTGAGAGGAGGCCTGAGGTTTCGCCCTGTTCAGGGGCTGAGTCCGACTCCTTTGCTTACTGCAGCCTCACCCCGCGCTTCCCAGGTCTTCTCAGCCTTGCCCCGCTCCTGGGGAAGTCTGCACACTCTGTTCTGCATGTTCTTCGTGGACACAGCAAGCCCTTGTGGAGGCCATTTTGATGGTGACTGAATTTTTTCCCTTTGGACAGTGAGACCTCACTGGGTGAGTCAGCCATCTGCGGCTTTCTTTCTCTCCAAGACAAGCCATGTGTCTCTGTCAACGCTCAGTCACTCAGAGGGCACCAGCTGCTCCTGGGTGCATTGTGGGGCTTGCAGAGGGAAGTGAGGTTTGCTCTGAGGGATCTGAGGATCCTCCAATCTGGTGGCTCCCCAATGTTGGCTGCAATTAGGATTCCCCGGGGAGCTTTTAAAAAATACTAAGGCTCTGGCCTCCACCCCCCTCACCCAGATTCTCGCTTAATTGGTCTGGGAAGGAGAGGCCCAGGCACCAGAGTTGGTTTACAAGTTCCCCAGGTGATTCTAGTATGCAGCCAGAGTTAGAGTCACCAACTAATCTAGCAGGCCCAGAGAAACCCAGCAGCTTGCTCAAAAGCGACAGGCTGTGTTGCCTCCAGATGTACACCAGAGGTGTTACAAGAGGAGCTGCAAAGAATGCTCTGGGTGGACGGTTCCAGTTGCTCTGATTCTGTGATGAACTGAATTAATCTGGGCTACATAAGTTAGTCATAGCTACCACCCAGATGCTAGAGAAGTGGAGGCTCCTCTCTGGCTGATAGGAGACTGGTGATGAGGCTCCTGAGGCCGTGTATCACAGGGACCCTCCATGTCATGGAGACCACAGCACGGCATGGAGTCCTCGATGGGCCATGGACAAGAAGGTTGAAAATGACCCATAATGCAGGCCACCCAGGGGAGTCGCCTGTCTTTGTTGTTGCCTGGAGGCCTTTGTTACAGAGCCTGTTGTCTTTCTGTGCTCTGCTCTGGGTGTCCCCATCCTGTCAGAATGCGGGACTTCTCCTTCCAAGAGAGGCTTTCCTGAGTGTGTTCGTGAAGGAGGTGCCATGTTTATGCAGGAGATATGCCCAGGAGTGCTTTTTTCACTAGGTGCTCAAAATCAGGCCAGGAAAAAGGAGTGAACAAGCAACCCTTGCTACCAGTCTGCTGTTCCCAGACAGATGCATCGTGGAAGAACGAGCTGTCACTGCCACTTAGGACAACTGAAGCTCCACACAGAGCCTTTGTAGCACAGTCAGTGATGCTTGAAAACCCGACTCCAAGTGATGTGGACAAGCAGAGGATAAAGCCTCCTGGGAGTCCAGGGGTCAGAGGAGAGGTCACTCCCAGAGTTCTGCCCCTTTGGAGTGAAGGGGACATCAAGAGGTGGCTCTGTCTTGAAGTCAGGAGGATATGTGGCTGAGCTTCTGTCACTCTCAGCTTTAGCAGCTCCCAAGTCCTCTGGCTGTTTTGTGGAGGGACTGTGGCAGCCCCTGAGGAAGGCAGTGTCCTGAAAGAGAACTGTGGTCACTGGTTAGCGCCATCAATATTTCAGGCCACCTGAGGGATGCTGAGCCTTGGAAAAGATGTGTAAGAGGTTGTGTCTTGGGTAGGGGCGTTCACTCAAGAGACGTTTATCAAGTTCTTATGTTAGATTCTGCTACCTTTGGGGAGAGGGCAGAGGGTGTTTTAGACACAGGAAATAAAACCCCAAAGCAGTGAGCTGGACGGAGGAAGATAATAAAATGCATTTCTTTTTTCTTCTCTGCTTGTGGAAATAATTATTGGGAAAGAAAGCCCTGTCTAAGAATTTAATCTGGGCCAAAGAACATGTAAACTACAATTTCGTAGTTGGGTTTTCTCTGTGGAGAGAAGTGGTTAGGGACAGGTGAGTGCCGTTGCTGAAGGACAGTTCTAGGATAGCGTAGGCCTGTTTTCACAGAGCTTGCCGCCTGGAGGGAGACACAGGACACACAGATTGCACACGGCTCGCACACACACTCGCACACTCAGTACGGGTGCCCGCAGGTTCCAGGAAGGAGAGTAAGGGGGGAGGCTGGAGGATGTCTAGGTGGGTGGCTGGGAAGGCTCTCTGAGGATGTGACATCTGGATAGAGGCTGAAGGAGGTGAGGGATTTGGCCACACGGAGTCTGAGGGAGCACGTGAGGCAGGGGAATGGCAATAATGAGGACCCTGAAGGGGGAAGGACAGCCATATGGCTCCTACTCCACGAGCAAGAGAAGACTGTGGTGCCCCACTGTCACCTTTGGCTGGGAGCTCAAGGAGGAGTCGGTAAAAGTGGCATCTGGACCAGCCTTGGAGGAGTCACAGGGTTTCAGAAGGCCAGGTTCTAAGCACCGAGGGAAGACCGAGGCCCTGATGTTCCCAAGGCCTTACGCTTGGGAGCTGGTCAATAATATTTGTGGATAAGTGGACAGTTGGAGAGGAGGGAGGCACGACAGGCCCAGGGAAGGCTGTGAGTAAAGGTGTCGCACTGGGAATGCGCGGCCCGGTGTGTTTGGAATGTCGGTGAGAAAAATGGTGTGAAAATGTCAGGCTGTGAATAGGTTGAGGTAATGATAAAAAAAAAAAAAAGAAAAGGGCAAAACTACTAAATGCTGAAGTTTGGGCTTCGTTTTGTAGTTAAGGAGGAACCGGGTGGTTTTTGTGGGTGGAACTGCACACATCAACAGAACATATGCTCAGGAGAATCGGCTGGGGGCTGGGGGAGCGCCATAGAGACATGGTTGGCACAGATTTTGAGACTGATTAGATGGAGGGGGAGAGAGGTGGGGTCCAGGGTATCTGATGTTCAACTGACCAGGAAGATGGTGGGATTACTGACAGGGAGACAGGAAAATGACATGGAATGATTTTGCGATGACAGTAGTGCACCAGGTGTCTAATGCTAGCTAACGGAAGAGCAGGGTGATGCTCAGAGAGAGAGGGAGGTTGGATCTCTGTCTAGGGGAAACATGGGGATTTGGAACTCAAGAACAGGGTGTTTTAGGAAATGAGATGAGAATCTCACATTTGGGTTGAGAAAGAAAAGGAACCCAGAAGGAGGGCCAGAGGAATGCAGAGGAGCAGAAGTGCCCAGGGCCAGGGATGCCAGGAATGGAAGTGTCAGGGGGAAGGTGGCCAGGAGAGTCAGGTGCTGTCACTTCACAGGAGTCCTGGTGACTTCTGGGAGGTGTGTTCGTTGTGGACTGGACCTTTCTCCAGCAGGGCCAGCCGACTCTCACTCATGGGGCTCTCGGTCTATGAACTAGAAGAAAGTTAGGAGCTGGTTGCGGGGCCACAGCTCTCAGGCGAGACAGTTCAAGTCAGATTTCTGCTTGTCAGACTAAGTGGGCACACATCTGTTCTGTCCTAGAAACACCAGCGGTCTCTGTGGGTCAGCCATTCTGATTGCTGCCTTGCTCGGCTGCCCATTTCAGTGACTGTGCCAACCATGTCTTTGTGATGAAGAACCCCTGCCACCCGGCACTCCTGTCCTGAAGAATTTGATAGTCCAGTCCCGTGGCAGAAGTTCCCACTGTTCTCCTGGCCTGCAGAGGAGAGCCACCATAAAGATGTTCCAGAAGCCAGGTCTGTCCTCATCCTCTCATTTCTCACAGGCCTGGAGGCACAGGTAGGCAGGCAGTGGCTGAACAGGTCTGTGTAACGGGTTTACTCTACAGTTTGGATCCCCCTAAGCTGCTGGCTATCTTAAGGTTCTCCAATGAGGCCTGGCATTGCAGCTTCAGTAGTGTAGGCCTCTTTGCTTCTATGTTTCTGGAAGCCAACTTCACAACCTCGGAGGATTACTGCCAGCTGCTTGAGTGGCCACACTGACTCTTGTCTCTGCTCAGTGAACTCACATCAACAAATTGGCCCAATCCCATGTGCCACTTCCATCCTGATCCAGCCCTTAGGGTTCATTCTCACATGTTTCCAAGATACCATTGATGAAAGTTCATAGCATCTTTCCCTTCTTCAGTGTGTGTGGCACCTCCGCACGCTCTGGATCAGCTCCTGAGGTCTGCCAGAACTAGAGTCTGGCCACCGGTCAAGAAGCAAGGGAAGGACATGTTTTAGTTAACTTTTCCTCAGTGTCATAAAAATACCTGTCAAGAAAGATTGAGAGGAGGGAAAGTTGGTTTTGACTCATGGTTTCAGAGGTTTAGTCCATGGTAGTCTGACTCCATGGCTGTGGGCCTGAGGTGAGGGTTATATCACGCAGAAGAATGTGGTACAAGGAGACAGCTCAGGACGTGGCTACGAGAAGCAGAGAGAGAGCTCTGCTTACCAGGGACAAAACCTAAACCCCAAAGGCACATTCCCAGTGACCCACCTCCTCCAGCCACACCCTACCTACCTACAGTTACCACCCAGTTAAACCATATTGGTGGATTCATCCACTGATGATGTCACACCTCTCATGATCTAATCATTTCACCTCTGAAAATTCTTGCATTGTCTCACACAAGAGCTCTTGGGGGCACCTCACATCTAAACCATACCAGGCCATGAGTAGGCCTGGGGGAGAATCAGCAGCCCCCTGCAAGGAGCTGCCTAGCAGAGACCAGTCCAGGTTCTTGAGTCACAGGATGAGTTCAGAAAGAGGAAACAGACCAGGAGGAAGGGATGCTTCCACTGACAATCAGAGTTGTTGGGAACTAGCTTAAGTTTTCAGAGTCCCCATCAATGCCCTGATTTTAACAGTGAAGATCCTTCAGGCCCGTGAATTCAGTGTGCTTGTGACTCAGCAATCTTTAGAATTGGACGTAGGGCTTGGCTACCAGAGAGTTGTAGAAGCTTTGTGGTCCTCCTCGACTGGGAGCTAGAACCCCAAACACATCATTTTCTATTGCTAAGTTCTTTAGTACTCTCAAAGCAACTGACTCCGTTATGTTGTTTTGATTGAACGTATTATAGCAGCAACTATATTATAGTTTTTTTATCAACTGTATTATAGCAGTGGTCACTCAAAACCTTGTCTTTAGATACTTGATTATAAGCAACAATTTAGTGAATATTTTGCCATCAAATGTCACAGGCTACCAGTGTCCTCTTTGCCACTTTTGACAAATGCAGTGATATTAATGCTTTCAAATCTCATCCGATCCAATTCTAGATGAACCAGTTCCAATTCAAAGAAACCATTTTTAAAGTTCTATTCTCCATTGTGTTAAGAGAAATAGCCCAACTCAGAGGGTCAAGGGTTGTGTCTCATATATGGAAGCTGGAGAGGAAAAAGGAAAAGAAAGGTGGAGGGAGCTAATAGAAATCAAAGGGAGATCAGCAGAGTAGAGGAGAGGGATCCGGCGAGGAACGAGGAAAAGGAAAGGGGAGTACTGGGGAATGGTACTGCCACATTATATCGTCATGTTGTGTGCATGTGTAAATATGGAACAACAAATCCTACCACTCGGTACGACTAGATTGCACCAGTAAAAGTATGGGGGAAAAATGAAGGTCTGTTCTCCTAAAACTACTGCCAGTGTCAATGTGGGCCTCAGGTAGGGTTTGGTCAGGGAAGCGGGGCCACTGTGAGGGACATGCATATGGCATTTTTTTATGGTAATTGGACCATATACCATTGTGGAAGCTGGTGCAAGTTCCGTGGAAGACTGTTGCCTCTGTTTGGTGGGAGGCTGGATGTCTTCCAGGGCCAGAAGTTGGGGAGAAAAGCTAGACACCAAGCAGGGGAACTTGAGGACAAACTGGAACCTCTGAAGAGAAACTACACCCACAAGGACAAATTTACTTCTGTGTGTCTCTTGCCACCTCCAACCTCGATGACCTAAGTGACCTACAGGAGTAGCTGGTGTCCTTTGCTGTGGAGCTGCACAATGCTGGCCCAGGACCAGAGAAGCTGGGGGAGGAAATCCAGCAGAAGGAGGAGCCTGTGCTCCAGTGGGGCCTCAGGCCAACACCCTGCGCCAGAAGATCGGCACAAGCGTGACCTGCTGTGTGCTGCTGGGCCCTCCCGACCTTCAGAGCCCCAGCCTCACAGGTCTCTTGCCCTTCTCTGGTGGCCGCCCTCAAGCAGACCATGCAGTCCGAGAAGTTCCACTTAGCTATGCTGTCATTTGACCAAATGCCGGTAGGACAGAGGTTCCTGAGGTGGGAGCTCTGCAGCCTGCGTGAGAGCCCTGGGGGCCCAGGGTTCAGCCGGTGTGGACAGCTGGAGGGAGGTGCTTCCCAAACTTGCCGGTCGGACTGATTCCACGTGTTGTCCCAGACCTAGAGTCAATATCTAGGGGAAAGTGCCTGGGAATCGCTGACTAACCAGGACCTCAGGCGACTCCTGTGACTCAGCACATTTCTCAAACTCCTGGGAGGAGCTTGGGCCAAAGGAAGCTTTAAAGTTTTAATTCACTTATTTATTACGTTCATTAAGATTGGGAGGGTAGCTGGCTTTACAAACAGAGGGGAAAAGGCTAAGAGTAGGGCAGGCATTGCCGGAGACAGGAGGGCATGTGGGGGGGAGGACTGATGTCTCTTGCTAAAACGAGAGAAACCTAGGGGGGAGAGAGAGAGAAGCACTGGTGGCAGAGGGAGGAGGTGGAGGCCACTTCTGCAGGACCAGCTCCAGCAAAATGGGGCAGAACGGAGGCCCAGGTGGGGTGTGGAGCTGGATCCAGACCAGAGGGACCCTCTGAAGTCATCCAGAGAAGGTGAAGATGCATCAGTGGGGAGCTGGGTGGCTAGGAGAGCAGGTGGACCTGCAGTTTCTCGAATTCCACCAGGGGCAGGAACTGCTTCCAGAATCTTTTAAATATCAAAGACTTACTAAACAGCCTGAATGTTGGGTCTCAGTAGAGTAACAAGACATTGATTTCATAGCCTTAACTTACACATCTCATTTTCTAACTAAGACCGTAATTTTGCAAGGCGTGGTGGTGCACATCTCTAATCCCAGCCACATGGGGCGGCTGAGGCAGGAAGATCTCAAGTTCAAAGCCAGCCTCAGCAACTTAATGAGGTCCTAAGCAATTTAGTCTCAATATAAAAAAATAAAAAGCACTGAGATGTGGCTCCGTGGTTAAGCACCAAACCCAACCCAACCAAAAACGAACAAAAAGAACTAATTTCTGTATTCTTTATTCTCCCGCATCTGCTAAATAAAAAAGAATAGACAATTGGAGATCTTTGTCATCTTGACAGGGTTGATGAATTTACCCTTGCTGGGTTTAATGTTTAGGTTTAGGAGCTTATTATTATTATTATTTTATTAGTTGTTGATGGACCTTTATTTTTATTTATATGTGGTGCAGAGAATTGAACCCAGTGCCTCACACAGCTAGGCAAGCGCTCTACCATTGGGCTACAACCCCAGTCCCAGTTTAGGAGCTTATTAAGTCTCTTTGGCTGTAGTTGGGAGTGGGAGATGGAATCAGATCTCACTGCCTCAGGACCTGGAGACCCCAGGTGTCTGGAATGGGGTAGCTGTGTGCCAGGGGGATGCTATCAGAAGTCAACAGGAGGATGCCTGTCAACACAGCATGGTGCCTGGTGTTTAGCCAGTCCTAATGGTTATAGCCTTGGTGTCAGATTATGTGAAGGTGACCAGTGAGATTTGAGAAATAGTTCAGTGTGGACCAGGTTGAAAGGGCATCCATTTGGGTCTAGTGAAGGTTTCCTGGTGGATTTGGTTTCTTTTATCTGACCTTCCAATACCCAGCCCTGTCCTTGGGCAGGTTTCCATCTTAATACACCCATCCCTCTCTCTCTTCCTTATTTGGCCCTGGTTTCTGTCCCTTTGTTTCTAGCAGGGGCAGAAGCTCTCCCCAGGAGAGCTCCTCTCCTCTGCCTGGGCCTCTGCCTTCTCCCCGTGCTTCGCTTCCTCTCCTACTCCTGTTCAGGCCTGTTCCATGTTTAGACTTTCCACAGCATGGCAGCCCTGCGCCAGGAGCTCAAGGCAGAGAGCAGAAACCTGAGCAGGGGATCCGGGAGGTCTGAGGGCCTGGAGGACATGATGGCCTGGGGAAGGGGTGGACCTCCTGGCCACTGTGCAGCTGCTGGGTGCCCAACGCTGCGTTGCTCTCTTTGACAGGCAAACCAAAGGGACAACAGAGGAGGAGGTGGAGAGGGATGAGGGGTGACTATGTGAGCTTGTCTGTTTCCCAAAGTCAGTGCCGATGCCTGGCTGCTCACAGGTATGCAGCCACATGGAAATCCCCACCCGACTCACCTGCACGATGGGGAGGACAGCGTTTGATTAGTCTGGAATGAATTTGGATTTGCTGGTTTGTCTTGGTGATGAGTCTTTTATTGTTTTCTTTCTTGTGGAGGACAGGGCGGCTGTGAGGAATACTTTATGCACAGTAAAGCTGTCTACCCTCTGTGTTGAATTGAAGAAGAAAAACGGAGAAACCTAGCCTTGTTCCCTTCTCCCAGAGGCCGGGGACATCCATGTGTGTAGTGCTTTTGATTAGATCTGCTGTTTGCCCATGGCAGTCATCCATAAAAACACGCCTTTCCTATATACATCCTTCACCCTCTGCACACGAAGCCCTCCGCTCTCCCTCCCTCTCTTTCTCTCTCTTTTTCATCAAAGCCAAACAGAGTGGTGGTTTTCTTCAGTAAAAACCCCTCTTCTTTTTGGCTCCATGCCTGGCTCTTCCCAAGGTGCTTGGAAAGAAA